CAACTGAAAAACAACAACTATCACCATCATTATCATTATGAAACTTACATGCTTGTCGTTGATCTCTTCTGTTGATGTGAGCAATTTTAATATCTTTTAAATCTCCTTTATTTGGATAAGTAGTTCCATCTTTCCAGGGATTTTTCATTAGAGCGTTTTCAACGTATTGTTCAAAATCATTAACAAAAATATCATAAGGAAGGCGAAGATTAGGATCTAATCCGTTAACTATTATATATATATATGAAGTTTGGGTTAGCAATATATTTATATGTATAGAAAAAAAAATTGAATAATATTTAAATGATTAAAATAGAACTTAACTGTTATCTAGAAACGCGATAGTAGAAATAAATGTCAAAAAAAAAAAAAATTTTTTTATTTAAAGATTCATAATTGTATATATATGTATGTATATGTATATGTATATATATATATATATTAATTACCTTTAGCTACTTTTTTAATAACACTTCTTCGAAATTTGAAAGCAGAGCCGCCTTTATACGAGTTGCCATTTCTTGATTTTAATCTTAAGGCCAATATTCTATGAGTTATAACAGCATAATTTTCTTGTGATAAAGAAGAAGTTTTAGTTCTTGGTGGAATTATGGTGTGTATTTGATTTTCTTCAGGACACCATTCGACAGAAATATAATTTCTGACAGAGAATTGAGATGAATAATGTGAATTGTTGTGTATCTTTTGTCGCTTTGAAAATGGAGGTTTAAATAATGAACATGATGTTGATGATAACGATAACGATGGTGGTGGTGATGATGTTGTAGATGATATAGATGATAAAGCAGCATGTTTTCTTTTTAGACTGCTTTTACCACCAAACTTTGGCCACCATCCATGATTATTAATTATATATTTGTTTGTTTTTAATATGTCTTCTGGAGGTTCCGGTATAACTAGTTTATTGTTTGAGCATGAAATAGTCCAATCTGCCCATAATTTTAGAAAATAATCGTCAATACAGGCATTCTGATCACAATTATTAACAACATAAGCAATAGTATTAGTATTGGTAGAATTGTTAATGTTAATGGTATTAGTGGTGGTGACAGTGGTAGCCTGATTGGAATTATTGTCATCGTCGTTTTTAGCGGTAGTAATAACTGTTTGTTGATTATTATCATTATCGTTATCATCTTTGTCGCTATTACTTGTTAATGAGAATGCTTTTAATAGATCCTTGCTGGTTCTTTTGAAACTTTTTGTTAAAGAGCCAAGTGCCACGGAAACTGAATTTGGAGCCATTTTTATTTTGCATTAAATAGTAAAAAAATTTTCAAAATAAAGGAACACAAAGTTCTCTGTTTTTTATGTTACAAAATTGTTACTAAAATCGACAATCTTTGAAGGCCCATTACCATCAAACTAGGATTTTTAGAAAAAAAAAACAATGGATAAAATTGAAGTTTAAGACCTGAACTTCATTTATACTGGTTTAAATTTTTTTATCATCATAGAAATTCGTGGAGTTATGAAGGTTCAAAGTTGGTCACTTTAAATCATTCTGATTGGTTAATTACACAGTAATTTCTAAATGTATTCTAATACTAACTCCTAATAGTCACATTAAACGATTGGGCGATTTTGGTGGTGATTTAGGTGGTGACGGCGGTGGAGTTGTTGACATGCTCACAGATTCGTCAGTTAATATAATACTCTCTATTGAATTTGCGGAACTTTCTTTGCTTGGACCTGTTATATCATCATCTGTATCTGGTGGCAATGGTGGTAATTGTGATAAGGGTATTTGTGGAGGTGGTGGTGAACTGGAAATATCAGATGATTTTTTTTGTTGACTGTTATTACGATTATCGTTAGAAAGAGTTCCTGGAATTTCATGTCCTGATTTCTGTCGACGAATGGATACTGATCTTGACCAACGTTTAAATGTAGATCCTGTGGAATTTGATGATAGTGAATTAGGAAGAGATGACAATATTGAGGAGTTGTTCGAATTGTCTTCAGTGTTGACATCATTAACGTTATTGCTATTGTTGCTGCTGTTATTATGATTATTGCTATAGTAATGATAATATGATAAACCTTTTGATGTTATGTGTGAAAATCCATCAAAACGTTTTAATTGTTTAGCAACATTATATCTAATTCTGCCCTTAGTCAAATTAGGTTCCCTATATGGTTCATCCAAGGTTAACATGTTTTCTTCATTAGCTTTTAATGGCGAAGACAATAATAATTCTGGTTCAGTTTTTTGTAACTCTGGATCCATTGCCTCACTTATAACTGTGTTCAACATTTCTGTTTGAAGTTCTGGATCTGGATCTGGATCAATAGAGTTGTTGTTATTATCATCATCTTCATTTTGCTCATTTGGTTCTTCATTTTCGTTTTCATCATTCTCTTCTCCAATCTTAACATCACCTTCAAAAATACCACCCATTCCAAAACTTCTAAAGAATGGTGCATCATCCATATTTGGTAATACTAAAGAATCCATAAACATCTCGTGAATTTTCGATTCTATGACTTTAATTATTGGTGCAAACTTTAGTTGAGTTTCCGAAACTACAGGTTCAATTAGTAAATCTAACTTTGGCATTTCATAAAACCCTGTCCATATTCTATTGGTTGGCGGAGGTTTGATTCTTAATAATAACCTTCCCTGTAAACCTCTTAAAACTACAGCAAGCACAACAGGTAATTTGATGGTTTTTAACTTTGTAACTGCAATTATTGCTTCGGTTTCAATTTCTACACGAAATCCGCCATTATAATCAAGATCCACATCGACACTTAAACCACCGTTTATATCCAACTTGGCTAATCTGGGATTGGTCAAATATGGCACACCGTCTCCAACTTCCACCGATTTGATATGAATATCGCTTAAAAAACTCGGTTTTTTTATCTTTTTAACCTTTCTGATCAATTTTCGAACAAAGTGATCTTTGACAGCTTGAGTTTTGTACACCGAAAGGAATACGCGTCCTAAAATAGCATTCAACCATTGTGTTTCAATATGTTCATCATTTGAATATAAAGTTTTCAAAAGATGATTCATTGAAAATTGATCAAATTGTGCTTTATCCCTTACAACTTGTGGTTGAGGTCCAGGTGAATTTGACTCAAGTTTTGATGATTTTTGCAAAACAAAATACCAATCTTCTTTTTCCACTGCCACATTACAAAATAAATAATAAGTAGTATCATCTATGTCAATTTTCATATCATCATAAACTGATTGTTTTGTTTTTAATCTTATCGAAGTTGCTTTTGAAAAAATCTCATTATCTGGTAAATTTTCTGGATATATTGATACGTTATGATTTGATATAATTATTATACCCTTGCAATCTAATTGTCTTTCGCTATCATACATAAAAAGAGTGTTATACTTTAGCACTGCAAAATATGAATCTTTTGAACGCTTTAATTGTGAATTTTTTCCTTCCATAAACGATTGTATTCCTTGTTTCATCATGTTACCAAATGTTGGACCGTTTGTTGTTGAGTTCATCTCGAATTCTTTAGTTACTCTTAACCACCCAAACTTGTGAAAACAAGTATCATCTTTTATTATATTATTATTGTTGTTACTATGATTACTATTGTCATTGTTATTGTTTGCTTTTTCAATTTTTAACGAATCTTTGAAATCGTTAGGCACATTATCAATTTTTTTTAGTGACCATGTCCAAGGTCGAAATACTATTAAAAATATTATAAATGCTAGAACTGGGAGAAAAGTAACGCCACCAAATAAATA